TACCCTTTTTAAAAATTTTTTTACAGATTTTCCAAAAAAGAAAAACCCTTATCTTTAAATGTAGAATTATGTTTGCAGTATCAAAATGTTCAGTCTTTGACACTTTTATTTGTTTTGTTACTGAAAATAATTAAACTTATGTAATGGCAATTTAAAAAAAAATCTGAATAAGGAGAAGACTAAATTGTGATTTCGTGTCTTATTTATATTTTTTACTTTTCAATTACATATGTTCAATTCACATGTTTCTACTGTTTCTATTATTGTGTTGGAAAATATACACATGTCACTATAATAGAATATTTATTTCCTTCCTTATTCCTTATTCCATTCTTCTGGGTCAATATTGTTTTGAGAGAGAGAGAGACAGAGAGGGAGAGAGAGAGCGAGAAGGAGAGAGAGAGGCAAACGGCAACTTGGCACTGGATATTGTCGGGAATTGCAGGGCAAAATCTTAATTTTATAATAAAGAAAGATAGAACAGAAATCAAAACTGAGACAAATGTACACATAAACTAGATGAGATCTCGTTGCGAGCAACGAGTAGGTCTTCCGTCCGTTTTTTCGATAAGATGAGATACGATTTTGACTGTGATTTTTGTTAAAACATTGGAATATCAAGACTTCTCTCATGGGATTTAATATTTTAATTAATATAACATTTTAAAAAGATATAAATGAAAGTTTCTTGGCCCTCCTGGGCCCCTAATTTAAGGGGTCAGACCATTTGCCTTCATATCAACTAATATATTTCAATATTTGAAAGATTTTTTTTTCAACAACTATTCAGAAATTTCTTTTTATTCTCGAGCTATGCAAAATAGAAATATATAGGGGCCAATCCTTCAAGACATTTATGGGGCCGTTTTGCGAAAATTAAATGGATGTATATTGTTCAGAATACGATTCTGAACATGTTTTATTCAATACTGTTTATAAAAACAAAATCTCCTTTGGAGGTATAAAGAATCAAAAGATTTTGCATTTTGGCCCCTGGTTGCCCCTAATTACGTAACATATGATCATAATTTTACAATATGTTGTTGCGAATTGTTAAGATGAATATTTTGCTTCAGTTATTTATAACAAAATATTGTTCATTAAAGAGATATCGATAAAGGACTTTTGGCCCTTTTGAGACCCTAATTTGTGGGGTCAGTCCCTTTTTCTTGGTATTATTTAAAAGCTTTTAACATTCTGCACAACTTCTCTTCAATTTGTTTTAACAAATTATGAACAGGTTGTACGATATGAAACGTAAGGTGTCAAATTTTATGAGATGTTTCTGAGACATTTTTTGGGACCTACCGACCTCCGGTGCCTTTTGCGCTCATGAAATTTTGACTCAATATCTTAAGTCGTTTAGGAGGAGTTACCAGAACAAGCCTACCCTCTTAAAATAAGAAAGTCCATATCTCACCACTGGAAGTGACGTCATGAATGTAAAAATTTCCAATTTCAATATCTATCAGATCTGAAAGTTTCGGGAAAATCGACTGAACCGTTTCCGAGAACTCGCGTGCACAAGAATTGGAAAGAAAAAAATAATAGGGAAAAAGAAACCGAAGGAAAACAATTAGGTCTTCCGTTGGAAACGGAAGACCTTAAAAATACTTATAATAATGATTTCTTTGGTGTATTGCACCAAGTGCTCACAGAAATTTGTTGAATAAACAAATTATAATTATAAACCATTTTCTTCGATATCGTGTTTAAGAGTCAATATTGAACAAGGCATAGGTTGATTTTGAATCTCTGGATATTTCCGCACTTCTCTTCTTCAGGAGGAAACTTCCCTACGGTGGATTGAAACCATGGAGGAGTGAGCATAATTTGCAAAAAAAAAAAAAAAAACAAAAAAAAAAAAAACAACTTTTTAATCATGCTGGTAATAATAGAAGTAACCGTCATCTATTCAGTGTATAAAAATGGACGAACAATAAGTGTAAAAAACGTCAGTCAGCATTTGACTCAATGATAAATTGCATTTGCGAATAAATAAATATGTAAATGGTGAAACTGGCTAAACAAGTAGGTGACTCATAGGTACTGCACACATAAAGCATCTTTTATTTTTCTGGCAGTTAGTGAAAGAATGAATTTTAGCTCTTAATATGTGAATATAATTGTTATTTTTGTTATTAATAAAAATTTAAAATTTGCATTGCATAAAAATGAAGAAAGTCATCTGACAGTCCAATTTTTTAAAAGTTTACGGCGTATGCTATATCATACATGTATATCACTTTTGTTATTTTACAGAGCAATTTACCGTAATAGAAGATGAATGAGTTCATTATAAATGAAGTACATGTAATTTTCAATACTAAAAGCAAGTGCAATTCAGAAAAAATGTTGACGTAGTGAGTAGGTTAATTACCTTTGTAGGTACATATTTATTGACCACATTAAAAGTGAATAAATTTTCATTTGAATCTGTTGGAGGATTTTTTTCCTTTATAAAAGTGTGTGGCTTTGCGAATTCAAGGATATGAATTGAAAAAAATGTGAAATTCATGAAATTATTTTTAAAACACGAGGAAAAATAGATCCACCAAAATTTACACTTATATACAGTTCTATATATATATATAAAGTTGTGATTTTTCTGAAGAATTTCGATTTCATGAAGGTTGCCTCAAAAGAATTTATCCAGGATATACTTAAGTAAGTTTTATTTCATATAAATTTTGTTTTTTCAATAATATGAATAAAAGAAATACAAGTGATTTTATTGTTTTATCTTAAATTTAGAAATTAAAGTAAAAACACACATTTTTACACTTCACGATATATTTATTGTTTTTTTTTTAAAATAATTGTTTTTTTTATTTTTTTTTTATCCTGTCAAAACATTGACATTTTTAAGATATAAAAGTGGTTATTTTAAAAAATATAATATAAAAGTGTGTTTGTTTTAAAATAAAATTTAAATTTTTTTTACTTAATAAGATATCTCATCAGTTTATCATTGTGTTATTTTCACGCTGATATGTTGTATGATAACAGTGCAACGATTTCACCATTTTCATGATGAGAAAAAACAAAACAACATAATATAATTTCTAAACCGTATATACTCGCCTATACGTCGGTTTTTTGGATTTAATATCTGGTACAAAACACTTATACTACTTGTAGGCGAGCTATCAAAAGAATGGTATTATATGAGGTCAGTCCATCTGAAATATAAGCTTATTAAGTGCAACCGACTTGTAGGCGGAATGACTTATAGGCGAGTATATACTGTAGATAAATGGAATTTTGCTATTGGTTCTATTATGTGAGAGTGTTTAGGAAAATCCTTTTCGTAAAAATTTGTAAAATAAATTCAAATCTGACTATAATACAAATGATCTTACAAATCATTGTTATCTTAAAAATTTTTAATGACAAAATCAGCAGTTTAGTACGACGGAGTATTTATGCCAATTTGACAATGTAGAGAAAACTTTTAAAAATCGTTTGTACAATTTTACAAATCGTTTGAACATAGTTTTATAGTTGATAAACTAGGTTTATCGACTGTAAAATATAGTTTACAAATCGTACGCGTGAACTATAGTTAACAATTCGTTAACTTTCGTTAAAGTTTTCATCTATAAAACTATTTTTAACGGTTGTTTACTATAGTTTACGAATGCTAATCTAATCTAAATTTATCTGTCTGTAATAAAACATTAACACTAGATTTTGTTGATAAACATAGATTCACGTCTGTAAACTATAATTTACAATCGTGAACCATAGTAAAGAGTTGTTAATCATGGTTTCACAATTCGTAAAAGTGTATTTATCAGCTAATCTTTGTTTTGGAATCGCAAATGATTTTTTCAGTGTTATTTATAGTTTACGGTTTGCGTTAACTATGGTTTACAGATGTAAATAAGAGATTTACGTTGTTAACTATAGTTTACAGTCCGTAAACAATAGTTTACAACCAATAAACCTAGTTTATCGACTGTGAAACAATGTTTAGCTTTTTTTGTAAATTTGGCATAAATATACCTTGATCAATTTTTCTCTGTCATACATCGTGTCATTAATTAAAAATACGCATGGATACTTTTTCTACTTATGCATGGCCTTTTACCCTTCTTCTACGTGTAATAACAAGACAAAAATGTGTACAAACGATTTTCAAAATCGTACAAACGATTAAGCAAATTTTACAAACGATTTTAAAAAATCGTACAAACGATTTATCAAAACGTACAAACGATTTATCAAAACGTACAAACGATTTCCTTAATCATACAAACGGTTTGAAAAACCCGTTCAAACGATTTAACTAATTGATTTAAAAAATCGTTCAAACAATTTCCTAAATCGTACAAATTATTTTCTAAAACGATGTTTTATAAATCGTTTAAACGATTTTATTAATCGTTTAAACGATTTTATAAATCGTTTAAACGATTTTATAAATCGTACAAACGATTTTAAAAAAAAATTCTACATTGTTAATATGGCACGAATACGCCGTCGTAGTTAAGTAATTGAAAATGCTCATAAAGTATTTCTGAATTTGAAATATGTTTATTTAACTACAGTATTTCTTCATTGCAATACATTAAAGTTCACATCTACTTTTCTGAGACATATGGAGATAAATACAATATTCATTTCAATAACCACTAGTAAAAGCTAACCATGGCTAAAGTTGGATTTTCTAAAATCATTATTATTGTTTTTACTCTTATATGGTTAAGAAAAATTTTTACAGACTTTTTCTAAAACTTTAAAGAATCCTGGGTCATATTAAGATATATTAAAGGAAAATTATTACATGATGTGTTAATGAATTCAAGCTTTATTCTGAATTTTTTAAAATAAAATATTAATTATAAGGGTTATTCTTCATAGCTGGGGATCGAATATCCTTAAGCTTTCATTTCAATCTTTTCGATTTAAAATGTGACATAGCAAAACAACATCATAATGCATAAATAAAAAAAATTCATGTTTGTGCTGGTTAACTCAATCAGATATTTTTTAGAATGGACAGAATACCTACTCTATCTTTGGCGGTCTATGAGGGACTTTGTCATAATATGGGGACTCCTATGGAAGTGAGGATGAGGAGAGAGGTGGACGATACAATAGAGTTTGTGGAAAAACCTGTGGATATCTTTAAAGGGATTAACAAAATGAAGAGTGGGAGTAAACGAGAGGGTTTCAGATTAGAGAATTCAGATTTGGATGTGATGATCTGGAGTCCAGGCCACAAAGTCATATGCGACCTCTCTCAGATCAATCTTCACAGTATACAAAATCATTCTCTGATCCTGATGGACAATGAGGACCTACCACCGGGATTTACCAGATTAAATCTATTAAGTGAAACTCACAACAATATTCAAGCAGTAATAATATATTATTCCTGTATACTTATTAATGAGAAACTTTATATTTCTAGCGCATTATTTCGTTCTAATCAATTACAAATCCTTCGGTATACAGATATTTATTCTTCTGCTTTCCTTCATGGCCCTTGCTCAACATGGTCCACTGGACACTTAGATATGGACTTTGCGTTCTGTTTTCGGTCTCATCACTGGCCTCCAATAGCCTTACCATGGATACATAGATGTCGTCAACAAGGTTGGCCGTCTGAGGTAGTTATATCGGATATATTAAGATCAGGATTCCATGTTGTTCCTATCGGCAGCACACCCGAAAATGGAGAAGAATGGAGAATCTCTTTCTCAGCGGCAGAACAAAAACTTGTATATTCACTGAATCACTGTCAGTTTTTGTGTTATGGTCTCTTTAAATGTTTTCTAAAAGAAGTAATTAACATTGAGAACAATGAACCCGTTCTTTGTTCATACTTCACAAAAACAATTTTATTTTGGTTTATTCAAAGTAATACATCCTTGACTTGGACACCATACAACTTATTATCTTGTTTCTGGGAAAGCTTTAAATCGTTGATATACTGGGTTAATATGGGAGAATGTCCAAATTTTTTTGTTCCGCAGAACAACATGTTTCGAAAGAAAGTATCTGGGTCTATACAGACTGAATTATTCAGTCAGTTATATAACTTGTATTGCAAGGGTATTTCATGTCTACTACTGAGTCAAAGTCTTAGACACTACATTTGTGAAGCAATTTTGTACAGAAAAGTGACTTTTTGTAACTGCAAGAACAGTATTACTGCATTAGACAGAAGCTTTTTTAAAGAATTATCCGCGAACTATTCTCTTGTCCAACAAGTAGAGGAATTCGCAGCCTACATGAAAAGAATTGAGAGCTTGGTACATGTAATGGATTGTTTGACACCATACCAGAGAGCTACGATACAGAATATAACTTCAAAGGTGTTAATTAACACTGCAATGTTAATACAGAGTACAATATATTCAGTGAGAAATTGTAATAAGGTTGATTATAAAGGCAATAAGGTATGCAAGCTACTGAAACTTTCAAGCACACTTGGTTTTGTGTCAGATAGTCTGTATCTAGCAATGTATTTTTACA